AAAGTATAGCTAAAAAATTCTATTGAATAAATTTTCAATCAGTTTGATTAGACAGAAACAACGTATGTGAACCTTATTATATATGGCTATTTTAAAAAATGTTGTCTTAAAAAATATGAATACATAAATTGATTGGTTAAAAGGTTTATTAAATGAAAATATATCTTAGTACGCCCATGCTCTGTGCTTGCTATAACTGGAGACATTGACCATGAATTTTTTATGTTCCATAATAACAAGCAGTGTTAAATGCCACTCAACATGTGACTAGATATTGCATTTCATTTGCTGCAATGTTTGTTCAAAAAACAAACTTTTGCATTTCCGTCTGAGTATGAGAATAATTATTTTTTCATATTTGGCGGGAATAACTACTTTATACAATTAACATGCCTTATGACGATCCCGCCCGCTAGAAGAGAAGTTTATTTAAAATTATTATTTAATTATTGTTTAGTAATTTAGTAAAATTAAAATCATTTTTTGGGGGGCTATTTAATGTCCAATTCAATGTTTTATATACAATGTCCTGCTGGTCATTTTTGCACACGGGATATATATCCAACCGGAAATAAAATCATTTTTTGCGGCTATTTAGTGTCCAATGCAGCCAGCCAGAAAAAAAGTAAAAATTATTGTTTTATATACAATGTCTTGCTGGTCATTTTTGCACACGGGATATATATCCAACCGGATGTTCCTTGCCACGTGTCTAGGTCCTCATTTTTTGCAGATATCAAACCGGATGTTGTCTAGACACACGAGATGCTCAGTTCGTTGACCTTCAGCTATTTTTAGTTATTGGTCATTAACCTCCTCCTCAATTTGGGGGTACAATATACATCTACTCACGAATGAAGATTTAAATTTGTATAAAGTAGATAGTAGGATAGGATAATACGTAGCATAAGTACAGCTAGCATACAGGAAGTGCGTTTTAGATTGCCTCGAGAAAATTTAGTTGCATAGATTGATAAATTTTATCGATTACAAAGGCGGGGATTTGTTGTACTTTTGAATGTCCATAAGCAATAAAAAACCGATATACAAATTTTATTACTTAAATAAAAATTAAAATTATTGATATTTCATAAAGAGACGGGCATATAAATTTTCAAACATCGTGTATAAGACAAAATATGTATTTTAAGCTGTTCGAAGAATTGTTTATTAGGCCTCAGAGACAAGACTTTCAAATATTATCGATAAGAAATTTAAATAAGTCGGTTATTGTGGAATGGATTTACCCGGAATAAAAGTGTATATAGAACGTGTTTAAACAATAGACCGGGATTTGCGGTGGTTTTTCTCCCCGAAAGATTATATCGGTAAAAGTTTATTAACAAAAGACATTGAATTGAGAAACACGTATCGTTTGTAGCTATTAGTAAGAAATATTTGTAAAGCAGATAGATTTAGTTAGAATAATTAAAGAATGTTGTTTTCTGGAATTACCCGAATGACGTTTTATAGAGAGAGTTGGTTGGTAACGATATACGTCACAGAGGTGGATGATTTTTATTGGTCAATTTTTGAATGCAAGGAGGTGGTGGTTTTGGCTAGGAGATAGGAGAGAGGAAAAAAGTTAGTTAGTCAGTTTTCGTCGTCTAAGAAGGAAGGAGCTTTGTGATTTGTGTTTGTTTGAAGTCCCGAAGACGTAATTTACCGGGTGTGTTTATTTGCTGTGTAAAAGCTGACCAGTGTGAGGAACGGGGTACAGAGAGATAGAAAAAACCAAAGGGTATAAGAATATTAATATCAGACGAAGCCAGAAACATTTGGAGTTATAAACAGGCGCGGAGATTGGCTCAAAAGGAGGCTGCATAGAATAACACGAGTTGTTGGGTGGCAGATACAAGGACAGATAGGAGAAAGGTGTACGTCATCTGGACCACAATAGGAGCAGAAGCAGAGAAAGGTTTTTTTGTGGCCATAGAATTGCAACGGCAGAGAAAGAAAGGTCAGTCAATTTTCATTAGAGCAGGAGTGTGGTTTTCATTTATTAATTAAATAAATTGCATAAATAATAGAGACAGTTAATTTTGCGATCATTTAAAAAAATTAAAAAAAGAGCTTAGTTATAACACATATTAAAAATCAATGTAAAATAACATTTAGGTCCATGATAGAAAACAACTTCTCATATATTTAAAGTATATTGCAAATATTACAGGATTGATTGTTATATAAAATTTCATTAAAATAAAGGACATCTCACATATAGTTCAGTTGAAATTCTATGTATTTTATTCAGGTCATATTACCTATCCCAATTAGGAAGCCAATTGGAAAATATTTTGAATCCACGATCAAGGGTAAATAGTACAAGTTAAATAGCCTGAGATTATAATTAATTAATGCTGATTCATTGTGAATAATTGGAGATTAGATCATTTAATAAATATAGACAGGATTTTTTTCTAAATAAGCAATATAATACAATTTAAATAACATAACATATATATATATATATATATATATATATATATATATATATATATATATATATATATATATATATATATTGGAATAATAATTAGATATACAAGAAATTAGCATAGTAATATTATGATGTTTAATTAATAAATTTACTTAAATAGTAATTGAAGACATAATTTATAATTGATTCGTGAAGTCAGTAAAGTTAGAATTCAAGAATTTAGTTACAAGAACATTATTAGGACAGTTACAGGGGATTATTAAGTAAGTTACAGTTGATTCGTGAAGTTAGTAAAGTTAGAAGATCATTGAGTTACAGGAAGTCATTAAGTTACAGTCAATTATTCAGTTATAGTCAATTATTAAGTGAATTAGTTAGAAGAATTTAAGAATTAAGTTACATTAAGTCAGTCAGTCAGTTACAATTGATTAAGTGAGAAGAATTCATGAACTGATTAAGCTAAATTAAGTTAGAAAAAAGGATTAAGTGAGAAGAAGTCAGTCAGTCAGGGACAATTAAGTCATTAAATTAGATTTATCAAGAAAGTTATTTCAATACAGTTATAATTAAATTAAATAAGAAGAAAGGATTATCTTGGAAGAATTCAATAAGTCAGATACAGTTTGAGTTGGTATATTATATGTAAATTACAAGAATTTTAAATTATAATATCTATATGCAATTTCCCAAATACAAGGATAACCGAGGCTGATTAAGAAGATATTTAGTGGTGATTATAAATTTGATTTTGGAAAACTTTAGGCTTTCGGTGACAGAAAGGTACCAAATTTTGTTAATATAATTTAATAATTGTAAGAATTTCAAATTTTAGATAGGTTGTTTTAAATTTAGATTGTTTATATTAGATATATATGTCTGTTTCATAATAGTTGTAATAAAGATAATTTAAAACAGTACTTAATTCTTTGAGAACCGCGATAAAAACCCTATACTCAGATATTTCATTTTAAACTCTCATTGCTCATATACAAATCAAAATATCATAACAATTTATATATATATATATATATATATATATATATATATATATATATATATATATATATATAAACCACAAAGTTTATTGGGGGTTGCAGTCAGAAGTTTGGCCGGGATGTTACAGAAACACTCTTTTGACTTTTGGTCTAGCTTTCGGAATTGTTTAATTCCTTTATCAAGACACTGTAATTAGAAAAATGTGTAAATATTTACAATATATCACAAAATTTCAGTGTACTTACTAGTCGTTGAGATTATTTGTAAGAAGCTATGACACTCAACATTAATAACAAATTTATAAACTATAACTTATACAATAATGGATACAATACATTTTAAAATTTAGTTAAAAATAATAAAAGTTCTAAAAATTCGTTTTCTACATCTTCTTGGTGTGTTTTAACTTACCCATAGAGAATAAAAAAACAAAAATAAAAATAGTATGATTAAAAATTCATTAGGAGTTCTTCATATGTTATTAATAGAAGGTAATGTATTAAACCTGTGTTGATGGTATGCAACCTGTTTAGCATGCAGGTGTATTATGGTGTGTATATGTACAAGTAAGTCTTTGTGTCATTTTTGATGTTTAGTCAGTAAATAACAATAAATGTTACTCAATTTGTCTATATCGGACTTCTTATGTATACAAGACGCACTGGACTTTATTAAACACATTTCCAAGAAAACACGTTTAGAATGGTTATTTTCCCTTGCCAGAATACAGGAATCCTCGAAATTAAATTCATGTTTTAAACTTAATGCATGTTCTGTCAACGCGCATGCGTTAATTTTTTTGGTTTTTATGTCGCTGCGATGTGAGATTACCCTACTGTGAAAATTACGAGATGTTTCACCAATGTACACGTTTTTGCAATTAGCACACGGTATAGAATAAGCAACATTCGATGATTCCTGTATTGTGAAAGGATTCTTTGTCTTTGTGTACAACTTCGATACCGTTTTCACAGTATATATATATATATATATATATATATATATATATATATATATATATATATATATATATATATATATATATATATAAACCCCAGTATGTTTCACTGCTCCTTCCGGAAACCAGCTATACGTCGTCTTCCAGAAGGAGTGAGTATACTTGAAAAATCTCTATAATGTGCTTTATAGTGTGTTTTTTTGTTATTTTTTAATCCATTTTTTTTCTCTTCTCCTTATATTATGCAATGTTTGAACCTTCCACGTGTATAATTGCGTAATCCATTTCTAACAGGTTTCGGTCTTCCTGTGTATATTTTTGTTACAAAATACATTTAATAGGTTAACCAACCTGTGTTGCCACATTTAGACGTTTAACTCGCCGTGGTAAAATTTTAAAAGTACCGCGACGTCACAAAATCACTTGTTTGTGCATAAGGTTCATAGTGATTGGTTTTGAAATTTTGCTAGGGCGCGGCGACACAAAATAATATAGATGTTTAGATGTAGATAGTGTTTGTTTAGAAACGAAATAGTTGTTGAACGTTTTAAGAGAAGTTGCGTTGTGATTGAAAACTTTGTCGTTTAGGTAGTACCAAAATATTTATCATATATCATAGTGGTTGGTGCACTTCTTTAAACATTTGAGGTACGTATTAAATATTTGTAAAACCTAGAATATACAGTATAGATTATAAAATATTGTAACACACACACACAAATTATGCCTCAATCTTTACAATTTCTAATTAATTTGTTATTGGGTTTTTGTGCTTGTGTGTTTTTGATTTTTTTCTTGCATATGAGGCAATATTTTTGCAAATCTTTGGATTACGTGACATTTTACCATAGAATAAAACAAACATTTATACAGTAAGATAATCTCGCCATTCTGAATACTAAATATAGCACTTTAATATCATCATTAACATTTTTATGTCGACAATGATAGTTTTCATGGGATTAAGCCACAATTGGTTGCAATGATAATTAAATTTTTGTTATGTTTTGACATTTCGACTTCCAATCCGGAAATCGTTCACAAAAAAGGAAAAATCAACCGATATTGGATTTACATGTATTTTTCTCGGGCAGCTGATTCGTGTGTACACATGAATTGGTATTGTGTTTGAATCGTGTTTACACGAGACGATAATTAAAATACAAAAACGAAAAAAAGCCACAGTTATAAAATGAATACTTTTGGTTGTGGTATTAGTATCCTACACTCTAGATATTGTCGACTTTTTTCGTCCCACCAATTCAATTTGATCTGAATTCTTGCAGGAATTCAAAATTTCATAATAGAATTTTACCAAAACGTTAAAAATCTCGGATGGCCCAGAAGCCTTTTCCAGGACACCAAGACACGACTTCGTAATTCGGACCATGTCCCGGATTCTTCGGATTAGTTGGTCACACTAGTTATGCTATAAAAAGGCAGAACTCATTATATACCTTAAATATATTTTGCAAATTTCTAAACAAACTTAAAATTACCAAAGTCATTAATTATTTCCAACAATTATAACCTATTATAACTTCAGGATTGGAATCTCACGAAAGAAGCAACTGTCGTTACCAACAATCTAGGCGATCCTAAATGTTCTTTATCAGATGAAGAAATAGTCTTCGACACTTGCTTAGCAGATTCAAATTATACGCTATCTGGCGAACAAATAACCGATAATTTTTAATTTCTTTTATGTTCTTATTTAATTTTTGTATTTTCAAATCGGATCATTTCAGTTTGTAATGGATATTTTTTATAGTTTTATATTTTTTACTCGAAATAAAGATATGTCACAATTTCGATATCATTTTGGTCTTCCCTATTCAGTCAAAATGAAAATTGATATGTATATACGACGACTGTATGCCACAATGGTTGAATACTGCAATAATTTCGCTTCTCTACACGATCTCTAGCAAAACAGGAACTATATCACATACCGTATCAAATCGGTCGTATATGACCGCCGTGACATGCAGCACTTATTGAACTGTCGGTCGTATACGACCGCCTTGCAGTCAACCTGTTAATACGGATTTACTGCTGCAAAATCAGCTATACCTCAAATTCAAGCACATGAGTAGATTCTAGAAAAGTCACTAGAATATAACATAGATACACACTATCTCTTTGTCGAGTTTAAAGCAGCCTATGACAGTGTTAAAAGAACTAGTGTTAAAAATACAAATCCCATTCTTTAAAATGGCGTCAATGAGTATCCTTAATTATTATAATCAAATTAGCTGTAAATTAACAAAAAAACATGGCTAACTTTGGCCCAAATTTACCTAGGCCAAATTTTTTTATTTGAAAATTCGGGTGAAAATACTAGCTTTTCGAATGTAAAAAAAGATTTTTTCTAAGGAGAATGGTTTTAAAGTTATTCTAAAAGTTTATAAACTACATAATTTCAAAAATTTGGCATAAGGATTTTTGACTATAATAAATAATTTTTCTATCTTTTTTTAATATATATTTATAGTATAAGTCTATTGCTATCATTTGTTACCCACAGCATTACCCTATCTTTATTATTTTCTGTCTTATGTTGTTGTAAAAAAAGGTCTCTGGGATAAACAAATACAATAACTTTTAAACTAATTAATATATTGGTCCCAAATTTTAAGGATTTGTTAAGTACCCCAATACCCAACCTTGGGTGGAACTCTAAAGTTTAACTTTTAAGTTTACTAAAAGTTTTTAACAAATATCAATTGTAACTTATTTTGCAGTTTGCAAAGCAATAAATTGATTTTTCAACTTACAAATATCGGCATTTTGAAGCTAAAATTAATTAGTTTTCTAATGGAGTGCAAAAATCTAAAGAATCGCGTTTTTTGTATTAAATTAATATTCATTAAAAAACGGCTCCGAAATTTACGCAGGAAACAGGTAGGTTTTCGTCTTATAGGTCTACAATAACTAAAAAAGTTGTCAGCTAACTGGATTATTGAGTGTCACGAGAAAATCCTTATTACCCTGGACTAATATGACTGGAAGAGCAAGAGAAAAAACAAACTTCATATATTATGTAAACTTTACTAACAAAAACGTTCAAAATAAATATTCCAATAAATATAAATAATCAAATTCCATATTCAAATACTGCAAAATATTTGAGTATTACTCTAAGCTTATGTAAAGAAGAAAAGTAAATAATAATTCTGATTGAAATACAAAAAATGTACTGGCTGATTTACAAAAATTCTACGCTGTTTCTACATAATAAATTATTATTATATAAGCAAATACTGAAACAATAGTATTATTATAATAACAGTATACACATTTAGAAGGAAAATGTCACAAATCAACAGAAAATATTTCTAGTCATAAAATTTTTAATCAAATTATAGGTACTTACTGCTTATTTATATAAAATTTTCCTCAATCGGAACATAAACGTCTTCGTAAACTATCCATTTTAAAAACAATTAACACACTGGTTTGTCAAAAGTCGGAATAAATCCTAATAATGTTATTCAACATTATTTATGACCCACCCTCGAGAGCGTATTATACTTCTTACCTAACCAACCTAACCGTCGGCGAGAATCCAGAAGCTATCGACAAGGACAGCCTGTACTGAGCGAGAGAGTTACATTTAGCAAAATTTGAGATTTTTAATAAAGTTTATACCAAATAGCTGCTTTGTGTTAGACTTTATCTTAAAAATAAAAACAGATTCGGAAAGTGGGTCAAATTCTGTAGTGCCCTATTTAAAAAAAAAATGTTTAAACAATTTATTAACCCATTTGGTCCCAGTGTACTCGTCTAAGTACAGCAGCAAAAATGGCCTAGTAGTGACACATCTGGCAAAAAAGTGGTACTCCACATGTATGTCCGATTCTATTAGGAAGTGTTCTACTAGATTTTCACAAATTATACCCTAGGTGGCGCTCTTCTTCGTATTTTGACCGAAGTAATTATAACCTAACCTCGATATTTCTGTTGGATTATTGAAGTGCTTGTCATTTTGTGATTTGATATTATTTATCATTTTTTTAACTTTTACTGTTGTAAGGGTAAGTACTAGTAATGTTTATTTATTCAGTATAAGATTTTTTTTATTATTTTTGTTTTTATGTTACAAAATAGACCTGTACTCGTCTGAGTACAGTGGGTTTGTATGAGATCAAAATGATTAAATAGTTTTTTATTGTTTCAGGTTTAATATTGGTATTACAATGGATTTTCAAGAATTGCCGCCTATTAGTCCCATTGGGTTTTATGGAAAACGTTATAGAACTCTTGCTTTAGCTTCAGATGACATAGCGAGTTCCACTCATAAAGATGCATCAGTGGTAGTCATTCCTCCTGAGATTGACTATCAAACTGACAATGACGACATAGATGAGAATGATCTTCAGACTCAAAGCCCTCCGAATGACGTTCCCGGAGAAATAGAGGTTTATTACACGAGTGATGACTCTGATGACGACGAAGAAGACAATCTTCCTCTTGCCATTAGAAGAGAACATTTACTGAAGAGTCAAAATAAAACAAAGGAATCTGACTGGACGGAAGAAATTACTGACATTAGTATGACATCTACAACAGGTTACGAGGGTCGTCTGGATAATATGAAAGAACAAATCCGAGGTAAATATCCTATAGAAATATTTGAGAAATTTTTCGACAATGAAATTATTGAATACATTACACAGCAGACAAATTTATATGCCGCTCAAAATAATAACCATCAATTTCATGTAACGCAGGAAGAGATAAAGATATTTCTGGCTGTTTTACTTTTTACTGGATACCATAGATTGCCACGAGAGCGCAGCTATTGGTGTTTAGATGAGGATCTTCATATTCCCTTCGTGGCTAATGCAATTTCAAGGAACCGTTTCCAAGAAATTAAAAAATACCTACATTTGGCAGATAATTCGAAAATTGATAGAAGGGACAAAATATATAAAGTGAGGCCTCTCATGAACAAACTACATAAAAAATTTCAACAATTTGGCATATTCCACAAAGACTTATCAATTGATGAAGCGATGAAAAAGTGTTTTGGGCATCACTCATCAAAACAGTTCATAAGGGGAAAGCCAGTAAGATTCGGGTACAAGGACTGGATGCTTTGTAGTTCAACTGGTTATTGCTACAATTTTGACACATATTGTGGAGCATCAGTGGAAAAACCAAAAGTCGCGGCGTTGCCTTTAGGATCACAAGTTGTTCTAAAAATGCTTGATGTCGTTGATGTGCCTACTGATCACGAAGTATTTTTTGACAATTATTTTACTAGTTACAATTTGATGGAAACTTTAAAAGAGAAGGGCTTTAGAGCAACAGGCACAGCAAGAGAAAATCGTATAAAAAAATGTCCTTTGTTACCTTCCGCTGTAATTAAAAAGAAGAATCGTGAATATTTCGAATATCGCTTTGACAAGACAAGTCTACTACTTTTTGTAAAATGGAACGACAACAATGTTGTCACAATGTCATTAAATTACGATAGTATTAAACCACTTTCAAAAGTTTACCGTTGGAGTGCTGCTGCCAAACAAAAAATTGATGTACCCCAACCAAATATTTTCTCATCATACAATGCTTCAATGGGCGGTGTTAATCTCTTTGACCAATCGGTTAATAACTACCGAGTCAGTATACAAGGTAAAAAATGGTGGTAGCCCATTTTTACCCACATGCTCAACTCAACTCTTGTTAACTCATGGAGGTTACAAATATTTGCTGGAAATAAAGAAATGGATCTTTTGGATTTTCAACGAGATGTAGTACGTCATTATTTAAGAAGTTTTGGGAAATCTACTTATTCTAAAAAACGACTAGCAGGATCTGTACCAATTAGTCTAAAAATGGATGGAAGCGGTCATTTTCCTAAGAAAATAGACAAACAACTTCTGTAATGTGAGCGTAGCAAGTGAGTGAGAAGTTGGAAATAAAGGGCTAAGTAGCATAGAAAAAGATAATAATTATTCGAGATAATTATTATATATTCCAAATCAAATAAGGGATAATTATTACAGTAAAATTTTCATTTTAAATCCCACAAAGAAATTGACCTAGTTATTGCATTGTTTGTTAATTGTTTAAACATAGAAAAGCACGTCAAACAAAAACTGTTATTGTAATGCAATATAGGACCCACAATTCAACGAAAACACGACCTTGGCACTATAACCGGTATTGAAAACATGAGCTCGATAAAAACTGGAAAACGGGGACAGCCAAGTCAGTAGTCAGTCAGTCAGTATTGGATATACGACAACTTCGTATATCCCCCGTATGGGTTCGCAACCCTCAACTGACCGAGTTCCAGAAGACTGAACGTGTCGTGGTTGAAAGCCCTGATATACACATAAGGTAACAGATTTCTTTATACTAACCTGTGTAATTATATTAGTACAACTGTCAACTCTTCACTATCTTGCTTCATCATCTCCCGACGCGCAGAATAAAGTGTTAACGATTGTATTTGTAACTTCAGGGTAGATTCAATATATTGTTGACTCTAAATTAGTTTTTTTATGTTCCTTTCGTCCGACTCTCTAGAGACTAGGAGAACACGAGATTTCTGCGTATGCATATCTCCGGCTTCAAAAGTAAGCCCATAACCTCTGCTCTTTACAGGACCTGAGACCTAGGAGTCCTTACCCCTATCCCGAAATCCCTTATCTTCTCGTAAATCCACGAAGACGAGCCAGCCCTCCAGACCAGTGTGACCAGTATTCCTTGCAGCCGCTCGCAGGGTTAGCATCCCATGAGGATCTATTGTGTATTTTATTTGGTGACAGCGTTTTCCTTACCTTCACATAACGCTCTTCTGCTTTACAGGACCCTATACATAGAAGTTCCTTACCCCTAATCCTGAACTTCTCTCCACTTCTCGTAAATCTGTCCCAGTATTATTACACTTCGATGTCGCTTATGCCATCAAAGAGTACGTTGGACTTGTATAAAGTGTGAAGTTACTCTGTGTATTGAACGTGATTGTTTTGTACAATTTCATACTCGTTAGATTATAATACAGGATGTAACCAAGTATGTACCTATATATAAGAAGAAAATAAAATATTTTCATTTTTACACAATGTTTTATATTTTTGACTCCCGATCAGCCCATTGTACTCGTATGAGTACACCTACTTTTTGCTAAAAATTTAAATTTTTTTGTCAAATAACAATGAATTGTTACTATTTAACCCAGATTCAACAAGGATATTCAAAAAAATCTTGTATTATCGAAAAAAAAATGTCGTGGGATCAAATGGGTTAATTTACAACCTAATAGTGCACTAGAACTTTTTAAGACCTTCCATATAAAAAAAGAATCATCCCAATATCTGCCATAGTTTTTGCGTTATTTGATATAAACTTTTACATTGGAATTTAGCTATGCCCAAAATCGCGAGGAACGGCCTTAAGCGGACATTACTGGAGCATGATGTTCCACGCTCCAGCCATTGTTAAAAAGCTATTATTTTGAGTCACAGGTTTTAAGAAAATAATTTTTTTTATCGATTAGAATACTTTCGCCCGCTAAAAAAGCAGCATTTTTAGTAACAGTTTTTTTAGCAACTGAAATTAGTGATACATTATTGAGAAACATGTGAGATATAATGCTGCGTGTAGATACTTGTAAGTAGAATCATTGTATAAGGTAGAATTACATGGATTTTTTGTTTTTATTTATTTTAATTCTAGTTAAAAACGGTTTTTCTACAATTTCCAATAGGTACAAATAATTAATTAGGGCTTCTGGTGGATTCAGCAGTCATATATCTAATGCATTCATTCTTCTTCTTTGAGTGCCTCTCCGATCGGAGATTGTATATCATTATGGCGATTCTAATTTTATTAACATTATGCGTTCATTAGTATAATATAATTTAAATGAAAGATATTTTTATTTTAAAATATAATATTAATTAAACAAAAACCAAAATACATCTAGAAGCGCCATGGTTGTTCTTACGACTTCTCCTAAATCAAGAATCCTTTCTAGCATACAATACGTAGAGTTCCATCTCGTTGAAACATCTTGGAGCAACTTTTTTGGTATTTTGCCTGATTGTTTCTGTACATATAATAATTTTACTATAGCTGACGTACTTCGTTTAAAGTACGTCACTAAGTTTCTAATTTTTGCTATGACAGGCTCGATAATAGTAATACAATCATTGGCAATTAGGTTAATGGTATGGGCTAAACATCCTAAATGTTTCCAATGCACGATATCTTTGACAGCTTTGGTAATATTAGCTGCATTATCTGTAACAGCTAATAATATTTTATTTTCAATTCCCCATTCAGTAATGACTTTGCCAAATTTACACTTGTATGTGCTTGTGAAAAGGTAGAGCAATCTAACAATACAGATTTTATTTCAAAATTATGTATAAAGTGTATTGTTACCGCCATAAAGCTCTCAGTATTAACGGAAGTCAACTATATGTAGTTATGGTGACAGATTTTACAATTCTCACTATAGACTTTACTGCAGTAAGAGTTTCCTCGTATATTGTTGGTAATAAATTATTTGTAATGGTTTTCCTACTAGGTATTTGATATGCAGGATTTAAAACACTTACGGAAATTCGAAAATATTTGTCCTCTACAATACTGGAACGATGAAAGTCTGTAGTTATTAACTTAATCAAGCATCTGTCGATTTTAGTTGGGACAGCACGTCCGACAGTCCTTGGAGCATAATCTAATTGTGTCTGTTTGTGTATGCTACTAGAAGAAGAACCTTCTGTGGTATTATCACCGTCGTTATTTTCTGTTTCTGGTAATTGTCTCTTATTTGCATTTGTCATTTCACTTTGTAAAGATGAGGAATCGTGTTCTATGTTAACAAACGGAGGATGTTTCCTTTGCAAATGTTTTTTAAAATTAATGGATCTTGATTTATAACTTATTATTTGACTGCATAAATTACACTTTCGTTTTTCTTTGTTTTCGGCTTTAAAATAGTTCCAGATCACCGATTTATTCTTCCTGTTCATTATTTTTAAAAAAAATTTACGAAATCTTAAACGAAACAACACAAACACTTCTATATTTTTAACTAAAAATTATTACTTAGAAAAGCAGCACTATATTTTCAAGATTACTTTAGAAACGTAGACTTGCAACTGTGACACAAAACATCTGGGTTTTAAACAAGTGTCTGCAAAATAAAGTATTTCCGAAATATTTACAGCTACGTCCAGAATATGTCGAATGGTCTCGTTCGACTCGGTCGATCGACACTGTTGCCCGGCTTTGTTGAACCATGACGGGTCGAATCGAACGCAATCCGAATGAAGTCGGTACGGATCAAAGGAAGTCGGGCGACATCATTAGGTGTGGACGTGTTGAAACGTGTCGGTCGACTTTTTCAGTAAATATTTAGGCTGTTTATTTGTGTTTATATCAAAATTATTTCATTTAGCTGTTTATTTGTGATCAAAATTATTCTATTTAAAATAATTTTATTTTTAACACATTTTTATTAACACGTATTTATAAATGGAGTTGGTGAATAAATGGTGAACAAACCATTTCATTTATAGAAATGAATAGAGAACGTGATTATTTGTGGGATCAAACTAACTCCCTATACAAAAATCGAAAGAAAGAAGGAAAAGTGTACCACTGGGATGGGGGCAGACAAACAGTACATTAGCAAATGGTTTGCATACAAAAGTATGATGTTCTTGGCTGATAAGAACAAACCAAGAAACACTAGTGATACAGATTTAATTAACACTCAGGTAATTATGATTTTTTAAATATTTAGCTTGTTTTAAAGTAATTTACTTATTTTATGATTATTATAGTTATGCGAAATAATGTTATTGTTAATTGTTGTTTTGTAAAAACAAAACAAATAATACCTACTTATTAATAAGTAGGTAGACTCCGACAAAGTTTAGTTTGGGAATATGACTCATAACTCGACGGTGCGCAGTGGTTCTTGTTTACTAGCGTTACCATAGAATCGGCCAGTTTGCAGTTTGCCAGTGTCGTAGCTGCGTATCGCAGAGAGTGTTTGACTTGTTAATTTGATCGTGTTGGATATTTTATTATTTTATTTTAGATTAGTGCTTATTAGTATAATATAGGTAGTAGTAATTAGTGAATTATTAAGTCATTTAGTGTTTAGTTTAGTTTATTTATAGTGTGTTAAGTTTAATTAATAATAGTTATAATATGGCTTCTAAAAGATAGGAATGAAAGGGCTGGGATTAAACAGCCAAGCAAAAGCAATAATTTATAATGTTACTACATTTATGGAACAAGCGGCCAGCACATTTCGAAGCAACCGAAAACTTGTTAATACCTTTAAGGAAATTGACGTAAGTATTGTCAATGATATTTTATTTTCCTATGCGTGTGTGTGAAAAATATGACACGGAAACAAGTAAGTTAGCCACATAATGTTTTATCTATGTTTAAAAATATTTTGTTTGTTACTTTTTTTAGATCTTTTTAGATTTTTTGTTATATTTATAAATCATTGAAGTTATACTAATTTATATTTCTACTTTTACATCTTTAAATGTAAAGTGGGGTGTATCTGTAAATATGTATTTTGCGAGTTTTCAACAATATTCTCCCATTGCTGTTACCATTTCAGTCTAATTTTATTTTTTATTGAGTTAAATATATCCCTTACCGTATAAATATTGCAAAAGACTATATTTTGCACTGCTTCCTCAGCTAGAGTATCAGCTTTTTCATTCCCTGGTATACCTACATGGCCTCTAACCCAAATAAATGTTTTATTTAAGTTTACAATCATGTTTATTAAAAAACATAACATATGACACTTCATTCCTTCAAATTTTGTATTTTTTATAGAGTCTAATGCAAATTTAAAATCTGGAAAAACTCTTAAAAACCCTACTAAAAGGTAATACCTTTTATATTTGCAACAAGCTCAAACTGATTGGTTTGTATTTTGTATAGATACACCACAACCAACACCTTGTGATTACCTATTTGCGATGTTTCATTTGATACTTTCTACTATTTACTTAAAACAGAAAATAACCGATCTCAATATAGATTGTGTTAGTAAATATGATTAATATGCATTTTGTTTCTCAATATTTTCATCTAGTAACATTTAACATTGGTAATTATAGGGATAGGATTCTAGCAGCTACAGGTATAAGTAAAAACACCTTATCCAAAATAAGAAAAGAAGGTAGAGAAGTTAATAAAAATGGAGCGACTAGTTCATCTTTTACAAGTCCAAAAAGAAAACGTTCTCGTGTTAAAAAAAAAGGAGAAGAAGAAATCATCAAAAATGTTACATATGACTTTTACACCATCGAGAAAAGATCACCGACAATTAATGGTAAATATTTAAAGTTTTCTAGTAAAAACACTGATATAGATACATTTTTAACAAAAACGGTAGATACAATTCCTTTACAATTTTACTAACTTAGTAAACAAGATTTACTTTCCAAATATTTTAACTATTTCTATTTATTTAGGTATTTATCAAAAACTCAAGAACAAAGAAATGGAATTTCCAGGGCCAAATGAGTCATTAAGGAAAACCATAATTGGATTAGGCTTTAGGTAAGATAGTAAAATAATTATTCAGCTGAACAAATAAAACTGTATAATGGATAATGTATTTTAAATTGATATTTTATTGGCATCGTTTTAGTTAAACTTATGATGAATATGAATAGTGTCTTTTCAAAAATACTAAATATTTGGATAATTTATTTCGATTTCGGTTTCCCTAAAAACTGTAAACAAAAAATACGATACGATTCTACATAATTTTTGTTTTTAAATGAATTGTTCTTAATTCTGCATGTTATGATACATTTGAAATTTAAACCGTCATACTTTTGAAAATATATTCTTCAAATTATCTCGAACAAATTACAGGTGGAGAAAAACCGAAGACAATAGGAGTGTCCTAATGGAAAAATATGACATTCGTTTAAAACGAATAGAATATTTAAAGAAGTTAATTCAATTTCGATCTGAGGGTAGAACCATAATTTATACCGACGAAACATATATACACAGCAGCCATACTCCACAATACCATTGGGCAGATCAAAGTGGAAAAACTTTAAAAAAACCAATTTCTAAGGATAAAAGGCTGATTGTTGTTCATGCTGGAGGAGAGACTGGATTACATGTTTATAATTAAAAAGTCAATTTTAATAACAATAACAATAATGTAAGCCATAATTACTTTTATAATAAACCACATTCTATTAGGGCATCTATGAATATACAAATGAATATTTTAATCGCCGAAAATTCCTCTAAAATAATTTGTACAATAATTTCATTTTATTTATGCTTTTAGGATCCAAGAGTGGCGACTATCATGACGATATGAACCATCTTAATTTTATGAAGTGGGTCAGAAGTCAGCTTATACCTAACTCACCTAAAAATTCGGTCTTGGTGGCTGATAACGCATCCTACCATAATGTACTAATCGAAAAAATGTGACGTCTGCTAGCCGTAGGGATATTATGGTAAAATTGTTAGAAGAAAAAAGTATTCCCTTTCAAGAAAATCTGACCAAACCGGAATTATATAAAATTATTTAAGCCAATAAACCACGTTTTTAACCAGTTTATGTGTTAGACTATGAGCTTGAACAACGGGCGGATGTAATTTCGGCCGGAAAAAGGGCAGGTACTAAAAGCCGGTAGGTAAATTCGGCCGGAGGTTTTAAGTTGCTTCCTTATCTCATAGGTATTTTCGGCCGCAAATCAAATAAAATAACAGAATGCTTTATATTAAAATATTTCTTTATTTCAATAATGTGTTGATGTGATACAGATTTAACGAAATTAATTCTAGAAATATTGTCAGATCGAAGCATATTTACCATGTTTTCGATAAATTTTAGTTTGTGTTTTACTTGTTTGTCTTTAATTTTTGCTGGAATATTTAAATTTTTTATTTTTAAATATGCATCGATCTGACAATCTTTTAATTTTTCTATAAAAATAAATATAGAAGGGTGACTTGAATAAAAACTAGAATTAAAGTGCGAATGGAATGATTTATCAGGCATTTGTGGTTCTTTTAATTGATGGTTTGATAGTCTGCGTATTTATCTATAAGTTTATGGTCCGGTTTGTATGACATGAGATCAAATATGAAACAATCTTCAACTTCAGAGGGGTCTAAATAAGTTAGCCCAAAAGTATGAGTAAGCCATTTGCTTTCCTCGCAGTTTTTATCTTTATACATTTGGGTTAACTCTAATGATTGTATTTTCCTATACCACGCCTGGTGCAAGTGGAATCTACAACCATTTAGTTTGGTTTTGGGAAAGACAACTTTTAATGCGTTATGAATTGCGATTTCAAAATCCACAAATACCTCCTTCGGTTCAAAAACAATATTATAAAGTTCAAAAATTTTAGATTTTACCAACAGAAAAAGTCTCATATATGTGTCACTGGTCTTATTGGGCAACAGACAATACAAAAGAGGAACATAATGCCCATTTTCCAGTCCATGGATGGTAAATAACTGATAAAAATATTTTGTACAATAAGAAAATGTGCCATGCATGTAAAAATCTTTCATTTTACATAAACTTATTATATTTGTATGGCAAGAAAAAACAATGATATTATCAGCTGTGCTGTTAATAAACAAAAAATTTTCACCTGTTGTGGTTTTCGGTCCATAACTATCGAGTACAGAATGTACATCGTGAATATCCTTAGGCAGGGCTGGTAAGAGCTTACGGCGGCTGTTGTACAAATTTCTTCTTATTAGACTGACATCTATCGATGACAAATTCTCTGGCAAATGATTTGAAAGAACGCTTTTAATAATTTTTGAAGGTTTCTCCGATATGTCTTCCTCAGCTTTGCGCTTGCATGAAGTCGTCACTATTTTTTCTCTCCAACGTAGTTTCATCGGACTCGTGGTTGTGGATTAATTCACTTCTAGTAACTGTGTATTCCGCACCAACAGTGTACAGTTTGGCTAAACATCTTAAATTTTTCTT